CCTGAAGGGTCATAGGTTCTGTCAAGTTACATAAAGTGAGAGAATGATGAGTGTGTGGGGGGAAAGTTCCCGGTACATTTCATCTGTTTATGGCAAAGTGTGGCAGGTCCCTAATAATGTCAAATGCCAGGCCTGTGACTAGGAGGAGGGATATCTGGTCTGGGAGGGAAGAGGTGTTGGTAACGGCTGGGGACCTGTAGGAGGAGGTCATAGGGCAAGTGAGGATGTAGTGAGAGAGGGTGTGAGAGTCGGGTTGGCCACAAAGTTTACAAACAGTGCGGTGAGGCTCAGGGTTGCCAATGTACTCCCATAGGTACCTGTACCCTAGGCGCAGTCTCATGTATATAAGCTGTTGAGATCGAGTCAGGGATTGATATTCTTTGTAGTGGCGGTTGTCGTCACCGGTTACAGCGTCATAGTGGCATAGTGTGACGCTACCCCGTTGTTTCAGGTGTGTCCAATTTTCGTTGAATGCCTCTCGTTGTGTGGCGTGTATGCGAGATTTGAGATGATTCAGGGAGAGGGCGAGAGTGGCTTCAGTATCTCTTCTTGTGTAGCTTCTTTGGCAAGCCGATCAACAGTGTCACAGGCAGTTATTCCTATATGTGACGGGATCCAAAGAAACTTGACACGGATGTCATCAGTTTGTTCTAGCCCGGCAACGGCGGCTAGGGTGTGAAGGGCGGTAGGGGAGGAGGGGGAGGGTAATTTGAGCCTCGCTAGCGCAGAAGTGCTGTCACTGATTATAAGGAGGTTCCGGCGTTCAGTGCGAGCATAGGTCGCCCCCTCATGAATGCCCGCGAGGATGGCTATGCTTTCAGCATCAGTGGAGGCCCAGTCGTGGACCCTGATTTTCCTGCAGGCCTGGCGCTCAGGAATCCACACAGCTGCCCCAGCGCTGCCCAGCGTGGTAACAGACCCATTACAGTAGACGAGGATAGGAGGGTGGGAGGTCTTTAGAGAGGAAGCGACATCATTAATCTGCTCAAGGCAGTTAAGTTTGAGCATATACCTCAGTTGGGTGGATTTACGACCAGGGAAGGTGTGGACGACAACATCAACACACGGGGAGGTCCACGGCGGTAGAGGCGGATGAGTGTACTCGGGAGGGAGAGAGGGAGAGGGGGTGTAGAGGTGATAACGCAGGATGTCAGCAGCAGTGTGGACGGGCCAGTGTTGAGAGGGAGGGGGGAAAGTAATGGGGACAGGCCGGCACAGGAGGGTGTTAAGATGTGAGTTCAGTGAGCGCGACAGGGGAGTCGGTTGCTCACTGCGAAGAAGTTTAACACCAAGGATGGCGTTGAGAGCAGTAATTCGATCGCAGACGGGAAGCAGGATTAGTTCGCGCTGCATGACTTCTATTCTGGTGGTCATAGGGCAGCCGAGGATGAGTCTCATCGCTCTGTTTTGGATTTTCTCTATGCTTTGTTTCTCGCGCTGGGAGGCAACTACAAGGACAGGAGAGGCATAATCTATGACAGCTCTGACGATGGCAATGTACATGAGACGTAGGACCCTGACAGAAGCTCCTTTGAGGCCGTGAGTGAGGGACTGGAGGGGCCTTGTTCGTTGGCGGCACTGGGAGTTGACGTGGGCGGCGACAGCGGAGGTCGTGTCTCTGGTAGTGGCTCGCACAGGTAGACCAAGGTACCTGTAGGTGCATACTTGATCGATGTCTTGTCCTTGCAGAATCAGTGGTGTCTGACGCCGGAAGCGTGAGATGAACTTGGTTTTAGTGTGTGAGATGACTAGCCCGAGTGTTTGACAGGTCCACACTCCACACCCTGGTCAGCTTTCCTGAGCCTGACCCTAGTCCCCTTGGAGACAACCACTCTCCACGCCTGCTCCTCCTTTGCAGGTGTCCTGCTAGGCAGGGCATCTACCTGAAGGAGTTCCGTCCTGAGGGCTTCATTTCCCCCTTTAGAGTGTCAACCTCACTCCTCAAATGCCCCAGCTGCCTTAACAGAGTGGCAAGGAGGTCGTCTTTCCCCACACTCCCCTCCTCTTCCGCCACGACACAACGATCCAAGGCGGCCATTTTCCTTGGTCTCTAACGGGAGCACTATCGGGCACGACCTTCTCCAAGCTGGGTCAGCTGACTCCCACTTTGGCATCTTCATCAGTTCCTATCAAAGCCCAATTTATCCATTATCCAGGGTCATGAAATATCTCTGCCTTAATTTAATGAAAATAGTCTTCAAGGCTTTCAAATACTGTTACCCGAAATCAATGGGCAAGTTTCAATCACCAAGAACAGTATATGTGAACAAGACAGCATTTAAAAATGGACTTCTGTCCTGAATTTTGTTTGAAAAATCTGGTAAGATACCGTATATACCCGTGTATAGCACGAGTTCTTAAGACCAAATTTTTTGGCAAAAAGTTGGGGGTCGACCTCTATACGGGTAATAGTTTCGTTAGGTTGAAAAATATTTACCAGTAACTACCAGTAAACAATGGAAACGATGCACCAACTCACCACCCACTGTGAGTGTCGGTACAGTTGCCAGGGCAGATCTCTTGCGTCATCATAGCAAGCCAAAAGTAGCCAAATGCATGGTATGGTATGGTATGGTATGCACAGGAGTATGTAAAACATAAAGTATTCATTTTTAAAAGTTTATTTATGGATACATAAATTTTTTTTAATTAAATTTGAAACATCAATCTTTGTTAATTAAATTTGAAACAAAAGAAAAATACGATACCTTATTTATAAATATTTTCATTAAAATATTACATCACAAGTATATTTTACCTTAACTGTGCCTGAATGAATATATTCTCAGAAATAAATATGGAAATGTAATATTTTTGCTGAAATGACGTACGTAGTACAGTGGAAAGTGGGATAAAATTGTGACGAAAACAATGACATTCACTTTCTTTCGTCGTTCAAAAGATTTTGCCGTAATCGCTTTTCGAATGGTTTTCAGTTAAAAACTGTTGTATTACAATAATATTCTATCCTAATTGACTTGAATAAATACTACGATACCATATTTCTGAATATTTTCATTAAAATCCATCAAAATCATTTTCCTTGTCATCATCTGCAGCACCAAACAGCTCCTCCCAGTCCTCTCCTTGAACAGCATCGTCATATGGATCAACACCATCATCAGCCATAGGATCATCAATATCTTCATCCTCATTCACGCTCTCATTAGCCTCATAATCCCACAACAAGTCGTCTTCTGTTCCATCAAGAGCATTCGAAATCCCACATTTCTTAAAAGATTTCACCACAATTTCTGGTCTGATTGCGTCCCAGGCCTCTACAATCCATTCACATAATGTTGCTAGTGATGGAGCTTGGATGTTGCCTCCCTTTGTGTATGTCTTATCGCCTTCTATCATCCAGTTGTTCCACTTCACTCTTACCGCATCTTTAAATGGTTTGTTTAAGGAAACATCCAGTGGTTGGACAAGACTTGTTAATCCACCAGGAATGACAGCTGTATCAGTGTTTTCCTTCCTAATCCCAGCAGTAACACTGTCAACAAGATGTGACCGAAACATATCCCACACAAGAAGACTTTTTTCTTTGCGCAGTCCCCTTGGTCTAAAGTTCAGACTTTTTTAAGCCATATTTGTATGCCGCCTTCATCCATCCATCCTTTCTCGTGCACATGGATGATTAAAAAAATGCTGTCTGACTTGCAACACTGTTGGTAGGGTCAGGTGGTTCTAACGGCACCTGCCAGGACCCGGTAATCAAATTTATAACAGTGTCTAACCTCAATTACTGTAGTTTATCTGATGTAGGCAATATGAAGTAAAAAATACCAGTTAAAGTGAGAAATTGGAAGAGAATAATTAAGAAAGATGTCGTTGGGCTATTTTTGGTAGGGCTGAGGGAGAGAGTACCAGCTGTTTGGTCATTTTTGGCGGGAGAGTCACGCAAATAACAGTAGTACTGGTATTTGTTTGGTGTCTTCTGTATTTTTAAAATTGAATACTTGTAAATTAAAAGTACCATAACATTGTATTATATACAAACTTGTCATATTTCTGGAAAATAAGAAGCAAGAAAATAGAATATACCGGTAAACACAATTTCAACGTACGCTAAAATTAAAAGCTGCTTAAGAAGGGCCGAAGCAAACACAAAGCCTCCGCGACCAAGGGCTCTGCCGTATCAGCTAGATGGTACACGTGTTTTTCGAATCGTTTTCAGTTAAAAAACTGTTACATCACAAGTGAATTAGGATAGAATATTATTGTAATACAACAGTTTTTAACTGAAAACCATTCGAAAGGCGATTACGGTAACATCTTTTCAACGAAAGAAAGCGAAAGTCATTGTTTTTGTCACGATTTTATCCCACTTTCCACTATAATACGTACGTCATTTCAGCAAAAATATTACATTTCCATATTCTCAGAAATAAATAGTAGTTTTGCTGAAACGTGATGTATTTCAATGTAAATTAGGATAAACTACATGAAAACAAAAGACTTTACCAAACCTTCCGATGTTCAAGATATGTTACTCGTTTTTTATTAGTTTTCGGTTAAAATACTGTTATATTAGTGATATTCTATTCATACTGTGCTTGATACAATACATTCACGGAAATGTAATATTTTTTGCTGAAATGACGTACGTATTACAGTGGAAAGTGGGATAAAATTGTGACGAAAACAATGACTTTTGCTTTCTTTCGTTCAAAATATGTTACCGTAATCGCTTTTTGAATGGTTTTCAGTTATAAACTATTGTATTACAATAATATTCCCTCCTAATTGACTTGAATAAATACTTGAATGGAAATATACAATATTTTTGTTGAAACTACCCGCGTTTCAGTGTAAAGTGTCGTAATAACAAATGGTAAACAAGTTTATAGGACGTAGTGTTTCTCTGAAGGTTTTGTTGTTCCTTTACCCTCAAAAACTTGGGTCGACCTATAAACGAGGAATATCATAAATTAACAATTTCTTGGTCAAAAAATCGGGGTCGACCTATATACGAAGGGGGGTTATAGACGAGTATATACGGTATGTTAATACTGTAATTATAGTACATATCTCAGTGGTAAATGGATCTCAGTCTATTGATAAATACTGAAAAAACCAATTGTGTATACTTCAATATTAAAAGTCTAAAGGTTTGTCAACTTGTTGCTGAGAGAGTGCAATGGCTTTTGCAAGAGCTGTAATATTTCCAGCACCGAAGCCAGTTGCACCACAACGTTGGATGATTTCAAAGAAAAATGTGTCTTCTTCAAAGATTGGCTTGGTGAACACTTGCATGAGGTATCTGCAAAAAAGTTGCAATAGTTATTAAAAATAAAAAGTAAACTTAAATATTTAATTGTAATTACAATATGTAGTTTAATTGACTACAATACATTTTCACCGATCACCTATCTAAACCAAATATGAACAATGGCCTATTTTTCAATATGCTCAGTGTATACGAACTTCAATCCCTGCACTCAAATATTTAAAGTTCAAGAAATCAATCTTTAGTATAGTTACTGAATTAAACTAATCATATTTCGATGCTGCGTCTCAGAGTATGTTGATGACTTCATTCGAAACACACCTCATCTACCTTTGTGACACTTCATTTAGTACTGTACTGCTTACCTCTTTTGACCAGGCATATCACTATCTGCAAAGACATCTTTTTCTGCATCCAATAATATTCCCAGTTCTCGGAATAGCTCAATTTCCTCCCCATGGCCTATATCTTCAATTTCTTCCAGTTTGATACCCTGTTGAGTAAAGATGATTCCCATGTCTAAATTTCAAAGCCCAATTTGTTTAGTTTCTAGGCCTGCAGACTTTTAAATAATCATATTGCTACAGTACACAGATACATCATCATTTTTATACAGCAGTGTATAGCGAATGCAAAACTCACCTCTTGATAATAAACTGCTGGAGGTTTCCTAAACACTACTCCATTATCATTCATATATTTGACAGTGGCTGTCATAGTTTGAGAGTGTAGCGCAATGTGCTGCACTCCGGGACCCTTGTGTGCTTGAAGGAAAGCGTTAACATGGCTGACACCTGAAAATATTAACATGGAACCTGTTTTAGTATTATTAATTTCAAATGTATGGCATGTACTGCTTGGTGAAGTGTTGGATGAACCTTTCTTTTGATTAAAGCTTCAACTCTCAGTCTACACACATGTCCTTCATGTGAAAAACAGATTTGGATCATAAAACTGTAATGTTTCATTTAAATGTCACCAGACTGGTAATGAAAGCTGATGTTTATTTCATTACACAGGGAGGTACGGGTATTTTTTCCACACGACCATCAAATGTTTTGAACAATATCATTTCTTACTCATACACACTTCAAATATTCAGGTACACCTGTACAGTACAGTACTTTCACATTACTGTACTCATTTGGCAAAAGTTGTGATCTAATTTTCTCCATACACACACACACACACACACTGTCCATCTCAATACATTACTATACAGTACAGGTACATACTGTATATGCATATCTGTACTATTACTGTATACAGCACTGACATATGACACATCCTTGACAGGTATCTGTGGTGGGATGTAATCCTAGACAAGGTTCTTCAAACTCCAGAGCACGAGCAGTAGATATATTCCATAAGTAGTACAAGACTTGGCAGGATAACCGACCGGTACAGAAACAGGAGCCAGCACAAGGAACTCCTCGTCGTAACCAGGCCTGGGCCGATCTGAGGGAAGTTAGCTAGCTAGGCAGGGAGAGTTGCTAGACATTACTTAGGACAATAAATGAGACCTTCTAGTTACTCGACTAGCGCGGTACAGACATAGTACATCGGGACATAGTAAATGAACATAGGCATTAGACATAAGCATAGATATCAGACATGCTATAATAATATGTAGTAATACAGACATGTGAATAAATGGTGCAATGAATGGTAACAGAGTCTTGCCGTCAGGCGTGTTCACATATCTTGGTATTTACATATCTATACACCTCCCTCCCCCTTTACGCTCGTAGTGCAATCTCGAGCGGCTACGGACTCTTTTTCCATGAGTCGGGGGGAGCGGCGAGGGACAATGGGAGGATCAACTGACGACTTTCGTTCCTGGTCTGGGCAAGGGGGCACAGGGGATGGGGAGGAAGGTTCGTCACTAGAGGATGGCACTGGGCGGAGATGGCGTCTGTTTCGCCACCACACACGACCACTGGGGAGGCGGACTTGGTACGAACGGGACTCGCCACGGCCCATGACGACCCCGACCTTGTCCCAGCGGTGTGACATCGGGTCCTGGATTCGTACTTGCTGGCCGACGGTCAACCTGGGAAGGGGGCGGGCGTGGGCGTCATAGTGGCTTGTCACTTGGGCCATCCGGGCAGCCTCACGGCGGTCACACTCGTCCGCCTTGATCTGCCATTCATCTAAGAAGGACTGGGGGTGGGCAGGCACACAAGTACGAAGGGGGCGGCCATACAACACCTGGGCAGGAGAGCGTCCGGCAGGGGTAGGGGTGTTACGGAGTTCCAGTAGGCCCCTGTCGAACTCCTCGCAGTCCAGGTTCCCCGTCGGTGCTGTCTTGAGGATGAGGTATTTTACGGACTTTACCGCTGCCTCGGCGTGGCCATTCGCCTGCGGGTAATGAGGGGAGGTGACGATGTGGTGGACGCCCCAGCGTTCGGCGAAGCTCTTGAACTCGTGGCTATTGAACGGGGGCCCACCGTCGATTCGGAGGCGGAGAGGCACTCCGACTTCCCGGAAGAAGCAACAGAACATCCGGATGACCCAGGAAGAGGTGGTGTCCCGACCACAGGGAACTACCACGGGCCATCCAGAGAGCCTGTCGGCGACCACCAGGAAAGACTTTCCGGCCACATTAAAGAAGTCGGCGGACACGGACTCAAAGGGTCGCTTCGGGAGGTCATTGCACAGGTACGGCTCTTGTTGCTGGCTGGGCTGGAGTTGCTGGCAAGGCTCACAGGCCTCCACCGTGCTCCTAATATCGGCGTCAATACCAGGCCAGAAGACGGTCTGACGGGCTCTGCGCCTGGTGGCTTGAACACCGCGGTGGCTGTCATGGAGGCGGGACAAGGTGCGCCGGCAGAGGGCAGCGGGAATGACGATCCTGGGGCCGTACAACACCAGCTCTCCGTCCGCATAGAGGCTATCCCTTAGCTTCCAGAAGGGGAGGGCGGAGGCGCGATTGTCGTAGCGGTTGGTGGGGAATCCAGCGGAGACATAGTCGGGGAGTTGGACGTATGCCGGGTCTTGAGCGGTGGCGATGCGAAGCTCCTGGAGAGTCCTATCGTCTTCGATGGAGGGCGTCGTCGTCGTCTTGTCAGCAAGAGAAGTGGCTGTGTGTGTCACTAAAGACCGAACGTGAGCCGCGGCCGTGGTACAGTCGACTTCATCTTCAAGTGTGGGGTGACTAACAGGGGCTCGGGAGAGGGCGTCTGGTATGCACAGAAGCTTACCGGCGCGCCACACAGCTGTAAAGACGTAGGGGGCGGTCTTCTCTTTGAGACGTTGGAGGCGAGGATTTTCGATGGCGTCCAACGTGTAGTGATTGAGGATGGGTACGAGAGGGCGATGGTCCGTCATGAGGGTGAAATGCCCAAGGCCGAACAGGTAAAGGCGGCACTTGGCCACAGCCCAGGCGACTGCCAGCATCTCTAGTTCGATGGTGGCGTATCTGGTCTCCGTGTCGGTCAAAAACCTGGAGCCACACTGACCTAAGCGCAGTCTACCCTGGCTGTGATCTTGAAGGAGAGCATATCCGAGGCCGTATAGACGGGAGGCGTCGGTCTGGAGGACCACTGGTAAGGACGGGTCGAAGGGTGCCAAGACTGGTGGTGACAGCAACGCCTTCTTAATATTCCTGAACGCTAGGTCGTGGTCAGGAGTCCAGAGGAAAGAGCGCTTGGGGCTCATGAGGGGGCGTAGAGGTTGGGCTGATGTGGCGATTTTAGGGGAGAAGTCGGCCAGCTGATTTACCAGGCCCATAAACAAGCGAAGGTCGGTCAGGTTCGCTGGAGTAGGGAAGTCCCTGATGGCCTTGACCTTCTCCTCATCAGCTGAGATCCCCTCTGGCGAGATGTTGTAGCCGCAGTAGTTAACTTGGAAGGCGGCAACCACAAATTTATCTTTGTTCAGGGTGATACCATGGGCACGACATCTTGTGAGCATCAGATGAACTCGGTTCAAGTGGGCCGGGAGATCATCGTCGAAGAGCAGGATGTCATCTACGACCTTCACGCAGTTGGTGACACCCTGCAGAGCCATATCCCCACGGAGGCAGTGCGCATCCCCCGTTGCTGCGAAGCCCATGGGTCCGCGGCAGTGTTGGAAGCGGCCGTAGGGCGTGATGAATGTAGTGAGGTGGCGATCTTCTTCCGCCAGGTCGACTTGCCAGTACCCATGTAGTGCATCCGCCGTGGTAAAGAACTTTGCAGACGGGGTGACGCTGCGGACTGCTTGGATGGGCGTAGGCGATGGATGGGCGGGACGGGAGACCTGCGAGTTGAGATGGGTGAGGTCCACTGTGATGCGAACACCTACAGGCTTGGGTGCCAAGACCATAGGGTGGCACCACTCGGAGGGCTCCTCACCGGCGTGTCTGATGATCCCCTGCTGCACCAGAGAATCGAGCTCCGCCTTCACCTTGTCCCGTATGGCAAAGGGGATAGGCCTGGGTGTGTGGATGGCGAAAGGCGTCGCGCCAGGCTTGAAGTGGATTCTCATCGGGGGGCCTGTCATCTTCTTGAGCGGCATCTTCTGGAGGTTGGACTTGGAGACAAGGACGTCGCTGAACTGACGAAGAAAAAACTCCCGGGCGGCAGCAGGTGTGGTAATGGCTGAAACAGGTATCTCTGCACACCTGTTGAGGTGTGTCACGGCGAGGATGGGCTTTGGGAACTCGGATGAGACGATGACCAAGTCCTGACAATGGCCACATGACAAGAGAGGGGTTTGGATGCCCTCATGGACGTGGACTGTGGCAAGGCAAGACTTGGGACCGAGCTGTAGTGTTGCCTTGAAGCAACCCAAAGCTGGAGACATCGGGGACCCGTCCGCTGTGAGCAGGTCTTTCATGGCTGTGGGTGACAGGCTACTCCTGGGAATGTTGAGGGCGTCCAGGTGTGTTGGTCCAATCACCGTGATGCCTGTGTCAGGTATCATCAGGAGGTTGGAAGATTGGCACCGTAGGACAGACGAACATTGACGGGCTTAGGGTACCTGTCACTCGAGGCATCATCCACGCGTCGGCATCCTTTGTTGTTCTTGGGAGACGGTGGTGTGGACGTTCTGTCGGGCTGTGAAGAGAAGTTTTGACCTGGAGATGGAGGCTTCTTGGTGGACCTGCAACACTTGGCGAAGTGTCCTTGCTTGTTGCAAGCGTTGCATGAGACCTTGTTGGCAGGACATCGAGTTGTGCGGGGCCAATGGCCTTGAAACCCGCAGTTTCGACATTTACCATCAGCCACAGGGCACTTTCCTGGGCCGTGCTGGCGCTGACAGTGTCTACAGGATTCGGGAGAAGAAACTGGTGACTGTGACGGGGGCTGTGGAGAGGACGCCGTCTGCATCTGGCGTTGATTCCTCTTGTAGGTGGAGACGGCGTGAACTTGAGACGGCGATGAGTGTATAGCTGAGGCAGCCTCTCTTGTGGCCTCATATTACCTGCAACAGTTGATAAAGTCGGTGAGGGAAGAGGCGGCGTCGAGGGTGAGGAGTTTCTGAAGCAGGTCCTCGTCACGTACACCCATCAGCAAGATCATCTTGAGCTGGATCTCAGCACAGGTTACAGGATCGCCTGTACATAGGTCCACCTCGGCTGCTAGGTCCTTAAGTCGTGCGTAGAAGTCTGAGAATGATTCCCCAGAAGCTTGTTTGCAGGATAGCAGTTCCCCACGACGCAAAGCTTCATTGCGGAGGCCACGGAAATGACTCTGCAAGGCGTTTAAAGCCTCTGTCACTGACATGGGGGAGTCACGGGGAATGGCTAGCGTGTGCTCTAGGAGGCGTTGAACATCGAGGGAAATGCACGATCTTAATTGGATGAGTTGTTTATGAGGGGGCATTCGGTTGAGGTCAGACATAACAGCAAAGTCTTCGAAATGACGTCGCCATTGACGGTATACTTGATATGTTGCATCAGATTGAAGAGGTGGGGGGCTGGAAACTGAAGACTTGCTGTGCAGGGGTGTACTCGAGACGGCAGGTAATGGAGGAGGCACGGAGAGGTCGACGAGAGTTGAGACTGGAGCAGGTGGTTGAGAAGGCACTGAGGCATACCCAAGAGGGATAGGTGACGTGTGAGGAGGCGTTGTCTGAAGGGTAGATGAAGAGGCTGAAGCTGGCGAATTGGTTGTGGCAGCTGGTGAAGTCGTCCTCGTTGCCAGCAATTCCAATAGTTCCAGGAATTTGCGGTTATCAGCTTGGTGTTGTTGTTGGAGTTGAAGACGGTAAGCTGATTCCTCTGACTGTCTTGACAATTCCTCTTGACGTCGTTTTTCCTCCTCTAATTGACGTCTTTGGGCTTCCTTCTCTTGGGAAACTTGTAGGAAGTGAATTAACTGACGTATATCCTGGCTCCCATCCTTTGAATTTGGCGCGCCCGGTGTGTGAGGCGTGAGGGGGGGTGGGAGGGTCTGTGAGGCTTCGTCTTCCTCATAATCCTCATTTGAATTCCCCAGCAAATCGTCGTAGTCGGACATCTCGTGTTTTGCATTCTCAAATAATGGATGACTTATCGGTTAGCTTAAACTTCCCTCGCATACACACTACCGGGCCATTTAATGGTGCAGACGATGGATGAGAGCCAATGAGGATTTTACTGAGTCCTCTGTGAGCCTTGAGTGATGCACGTCCTGTTTTCTGATGCAGCAGTGGAAAATTATGCTTTTTCTTTTCTTTTCTTCTTTTCTTATCCAGGCTGACTCTCCTCCCTCTCTTCCGGTAACATTAGATCAATATGCAATTATATCATGAATATAGCGGCAGCCTCCTGAGAGAGAGAGGCGTATTGGTATTATAGA